AGAAGAGCCATTTAATTAATTAATTCCATTATAGATAATCCAACAAATGTAGATACTTTATCTCATAGTAAATTAATTGAACCTTTACTAGTATTAGCATCAACTGGTAAAACAGTCAATTCAGTTTATTATTTCTTAAAGAGAATTATTAGTTATAATTGTTTACCATCATTTCTAACAACATTATTACATACCTCTCATGAAAATGGATTAAGAGAAGAATATATTTCATTATTAACAGAATGTACTCAAGTCTCACAACAACCTAGATATACTGCAGAATTCTCCAAACAAGGAACTTCATTATTATCAACTCAATTAAAATTTGAGCAAACACAAGTTTTATCTATTTCATTATGGGCAGCAATAATGAATTTTCCTGACTACTCTCGTGATTCATTTATTACAATCACATCTTTTATTCTTAAAGATATTAAATTAAATCTAGGAGTTTCTTCTACTGCCGTTACAATGCAAATCATCACAGAATCGCATAACGGTTCTATTATTATTGATCATTCTTTTAGACCAAGAGAGTTTTTTAATATTACTGTATTACTTCGCTTATCTAAAGCGTTAGATATCCAAATAGCTATTGATGGGACATTTATTTCTGCAGCAGAACGTATTCAAATTAATGTACCACAATCATTATTTCCATTAGACCTTATAATAAAACCAATTGATAATGCTCGTTTTAGAATTGGAAATTTTCATTTCTTTAAAACAATTTTAAGTGAAGAAATGATCAAATTTATATTCACCGCAAGAGCAGATATTCTTCCATTTAATTGGATTTCAGAACTACCCCTTAATATGAAAAATTTAGAAATACCAACTGACTATTTAGGAAGTCTTATTATTCCAAGTGGTAAATTGTATGTTCATAGTAATAAAAGTATACACTCTGTTCAAACAACTAATTTAAGAAAATTTGAATGTATTGGTATGAAAGAAGCATTTAATGCAGTTGGTGGAATAGAAGTCTTATTATTATTTTTAAGTGAAGTAAAAAGAGTAGAAGAAGCTATTGGTATTATTGAAGTTATAAGAAAATTTCTTACTAATAATAAAATCGCTGCACTAACATATCGTACTGTACATGCAGGAAGAATTTTATTAGAAATTTTAAGTTATACAAGTTATTATTCAAATACACTTAATGAATCAATTAAATTAACTGATTCTAAAATGATTGTTAGGGAATTAGAATTATTATGTTGTTCAAATCTTCGTATAGAAACTGCAGAATTATTTAAAGATATATTTTTTCATACTGCATTTTGGATGAGAACTTCTGGAGAAGTTTTTTATGAGTATATTCAAACAATAATGAAATACATAAATTGTCCTTTTAAAGAAACTAATCTTCAAGTACTTATAGAATCACATTGTATAGATGAGTTTATATCTTATGTACCAGTAGTAGTTGGACTTAAAATGAGAGATCTACAGACTCTTTATATATCAATTATTTATCAATTACTCAATTCTTTATCATGGAAATATATTACTCAATTATTAAATAATGTAATTGCACAATATTGTATTAACATTATTCCATCACCGGTTCTTCCATTATATGGTGATCAAGAAATTATTAACTCTTCACATATTTCTAATTCAAGAACGAATTCAGATACCTATATTTCTCATCCAAGAGCACTAAATGCACAATACTTTTGTTTGGAAGTAATTGAAACTATTGTACGTGCATCATATGATCGTTTTTCAAGTGAAGATTTATTTATTTATTTGAAAGAAGTTTACCAAACAGTTCCATTTGAGACTCTTATTACACTTCTTTCAATTGCAAAATCAGAAAATTTGTTTTTATCTCTTATTAAATTATTAGAAGGATATCTTGCTAATTCATTAGTTGAGGTATCTACTTTACAAACAAATTTTCTTTCTATATTTGAATCCATTAGATGTAAAGACGTATTTACTAATTTAACTTCTAAATCAATTAAAGCACTTTGGAATTTTGCACAACCAATAAATTGTATTAAATATGTTTTAATGATTGGTTCTATTAAAACTATTTCTATTGAATTAGTTAAAACATTTATTGAACTTATCATTGAGAAAGGAGTATTTTTAAATCAAGAAAATTCAGACTTAGTATGGAGGTTTATTCTCAATATTACTGAAAATGAACAATTAGATCAAAAAATATTATTTTCATTGATTCCAATGATTGTTGATATGGTTTGTAAAATTAAGATGGACGGAGATGGGTATTGTAATGAATTATCTAAGTTGTGTATTCATAATCCAATTAATCCTATACGATGGACATTATATCAAGGAATTTCATTAAAATATAATCATAGTTTATTCCCTTCTGTTGCTGTAATAAAAATATTTCAATTA